CCAGGCGCCGAGTGCTGCCAATCACAACACACACTGGCCCAGCTAACCAATCACAGCACATTTCATATTTCAGAAGGCGGGCCTTCATTTGATACAGGAACTATTCGAGCCGTTCATGCCAGACTGGGGAGAGAGGTGTTGTAATAATGTAAAATATGTGAAAAATAATGTGTTTTTCGAACTGTTCTAGTACACCCCCAAAACAAATTCAAGACTTTGTAAAAGAGCATAATAGGACCCCTTTAAACCATGCATGATGGTAATGAAATGTGATGGTCATGGGATTTTTGTTAGTGAAGTGAAGTGAAGTGACATGTGGCCAAGTATGGTGACCCATACTCAGAATTAGTGCTCTGCATTTATCCCACCCAAAGTGCACACACACAGCAATGAACACACACACACCGTGAACACACACCCGGAGCAGTGGGCAGTCATTTTTTGCTGCGGCGCCCGGGGAGCAGTTGGGGGTTCGGTGCCTTGCTCAAGGGCACCTCAGTCATGGTATTGAAGGTGGGAGAGAGAGCACTGTACATTCACTCCCCCCACCTACAATCCCTTTTGGTACGAGACTCGAACCCGCAACCTTTGGGTTACGAGTCCGACTCTAACCATTAGGCCACGACTTTCCCCATTTTAAATCAAATTATTTCTGAATGATCTTAAATAAAACTGGTTTAGTAATGGCACCCAATAAAGCTGGATTTAGACCATGATGAAAAAATATTAATTACACATTCTGATCTTAAACAAATTTTAAGCAAACAAATAAAATAAACATTTTTGGAAAAAGAAAATGCACTGGATTTTCTCTAAAATGTTCATTGTCATAGTAAAGAAATTATTAATTGCAATTGCAAATAAACATTTTAACATTTATTTACATGAATTTAACACTATTTTATATTTAATTGTTAACATATTATAGAGGGGAAGTTTAAAAATCTGAATGGGGAAGAAAAGTCAAAACAGAGAAATTTTGGCAAATGCAAGATTTCATCCTTCTTAACAAATAGAAAACACTTAAGCTGCGTCCGAAATCGCATACTTCCATACAATATAGTAGGCGAAAAACAGTATGCGAGGCGAGTAGTATGTCCGAATTCACAGTATTCGAAAAACAGTAGGCGAGAAGTACCCGGATGACCTACTACATCCGCCCGAATTCCGTAGCATGCATACGATGGACACTTTACTATCCCATGAGGCCACGGGAGAGGAGGTGTCATATTCGAAAATGGCGGAAGGCGGCGATGCGGCTCTTTTCAAGTGTAAGTACCTCAGGGAAAAACGTTGTTCATTGTGGTTAAATTGCACTTGTTTAACATGATCTAAGTGAACGGCTGACTTATTGAAAGTTTAAATATCATAAGTCGATGATATGATTTCATGAATCGGCTGTAAAAAGATGTTTAATCGCCGATGAAAGTGGTAAGAATTACGTGAAACATTGCTGATGTTAGCAGTAGTGAGGGCTCTTTAAATTTTGGCGCTGTTGTGAAGACGCATGTCACGTGACAACATCAACATGGCAGATGTAGTACGTCCGAATTCCATTCATACTACTCGCATTCATACTATATAGAACGTACTTTTTCAACGGTCGAGTAGTACGTTCAAATTCAAATGTAGTACCTACTAAGCAGTATGCGATTTCGGACGCACCCTTAGTGAGTTAAATATTTACCTAGCAAGTAGCAACCACCCAGAACACCCTAGCAACCAGACGTGCCAAAAACTTGTTAACAATGACTTTTTGTGACACTCATTGTCAGCTGACACACAACTGAATTTCAGTTGCATCTTAAAGAACAGAACCAAATCTCTCTCTGCTTACTGCAAAGCAGTGAAGCATGTGTACACACATTCCTGCGGGGATTTGAGGGTCTCCGGTGAGACTTACCCATAATCCCCTGGGACACAGTGGAACAAACATTGACAACAGATGCGTTTAACAACTTGCTCAACTAAAACTGACATCCAAACACTCGGTAAGAAGTCATTCTGTTCTTCATTCACTGTCTTCTTCAACCAAATGACATCACTGTTTTGTCTTCATTGCCTTAAATCCTTTTATTTGAACTTATGAGTTTCTGCGTGAACTCACACTCAAGTGGGAATAATTTCTCAAACAGTCGATCCAGACGCGCAGCACCACACTGCTAAAACATTCCAGAGTCCAGAACTCAACATTAACACTCATCACACAGACACGCTAAAAATCATCAACACGCACAGACACACCGACTTCAGCGGAGGACTGAAACTTTTAAAGGTGCCATAGAATGCATTGATACAATATTTTTAATTGTTCTCTGATATCTACTTAGAAGGTATGTGGCTTAGGTAAGGACAAAAAATCTGGTTTTACATGTCCATTTACAACCCTAGGATTTGTCCCTAGAATGAAATGGTCTGTTTTTACCTTATTTGGAAGGGTCATGAATAATAATGTTGAGCTCTGCTCTGATTGGCTGTTTCACAGTGCGGCTCATTTCAGTAGCTCACACAGCAGGAAGGAAACAGAGGGAAAATATATATTTCAATACTGTCTCCCGCAGTTATATCGTTCGGTAATTATACTGTATATAAAATGCGGGCATCAGGGAGCCGCTATTAATATGCGGCGCATTAAAACTGCTTGCGAATGCACGATCGCTTTTTACTTTCACTTTCGAGATTTGCGATCGCACGTGCTCTGTGTAAACTACAGCGGCAGTACTTACCACAAATTTTACAAGATCAGATGCTTGTCAGTGGTGCTCAGGATCTGTAAATGTAATGTAACAGGCTACCGCTAGCAAGCAGCTAACATGTCCCTTTAGTGGCTCGCATTATTTTATTAGAATGCGCGTAATTTGTTTTCTGTGCCTTTCTGAATACAGACACCAACCCATCCTTGCACTTCACATCCCCTGCACAGCCTGGAACATAACATTTATTTCCATGATCTGCCATTTTCTATTATCCTCGCTTGTTTCTTCACAATATGTGCAGAACTTCTGATGATTCGGTTGTGCAGGTCCGGCTGGCGGCTGGCATAGAACATGGGCGGATATATGCAAATGTTGGGGGCGGAACTATTAGTGATCCCAACTGTAACGTCACAGTCGGTGTTATGTTCCGATTCGCCTGTTTTTCAGTGGCTTTTGCATGCACAAGATTTACATGAGAAACAATGGTGTTTGAGGCTCACGGTATGTCATTTCCATGAACAGAAATGTTATTATTCAACTATGCCAAGGTAAATACAGTTTTCCATTCTATGGCACCTTTAATCACAATGATCTTTAATGAAGCAATACAGCATCACAGGCTGTGATGTTTTATACACAACTGTTCAAAAGTTTGGGGTCATTCAGATTTGTTTAATACTTTCACTCATCAGTGAGGCATTAAATTGATCAAAAGTGACAGTAAAGACATTTAGAATGTTACAAAAAGATTTATATTTCAAATAAATGCTGTTCTTTTGAACTTTCCATTTTGAATCCTGAAAATAAAGTATCATGATTTCCACAAAAAGAAGCAGCAGCACAATTGTTTTCTACATTGATAATAATCCAAATGTTTCTTGAGCAGCAAATCATCATATTAGAATGATTTCTGATGCATCATGTGACACTGAAGACTGGAGAAATGATGCTGAAAATTCAGCTTTGCGTCACAGGAATGAATTCCATCCCAAAATATAATCAAATAGAAAACAGTTATTTTAAATTGCAAAAATATTTCACAATTTGAATGCTTTCACTGTATTTTCTGATCAAATAAATGCAGCCTTGGTGAGCAGAAGAGACTTCTTTGAAAAACATTTTATAAAAATCTTACAGACCCCAAACTTTTGAACGATAATGTACACATTAAATGCTGAAGTGCAACTAAAATATGAAATGTAGAAGTAGAAGTTAATTAAGAGGAAACACCTGTCATTAGTTACCTGATCTCTGCTGTAGGTCAGTCAGGTGAAGAGCATCAAGAGGCCTGAAAACAGGAAGAAAGTGAGATGATCAGAAATGTGTTTACTTCAGTTTAGTCACACACACAAATCACAGATTAATCACAGCAACAGTCCAGCACATCTCTGATTCCCACACTGATCACTCATCCTGCTGCGTCTGTGATCATCCAGTTGGACCGTCACACTCGTATTCACTCACGTCAGTCTGTCAAACACACATCAGCTCCTGTCACTGAGGCACAAGATCCCATTTCTTCATTACATGGACTGATAAATACAGCATCACTCCATCATGTCCTCAAAACTCTTTTATTTTCTCATTGAGTAAATATTGAAGTGTATTATCAAAAGATTCCATATTTATATTTGGTTTTGTTTTATTTTTATATTCCTTCTTTATATATTGTCCTTAGTTCACAGTAGTGCTCAATTTCATTAGCAGATGTAAAAATCTACAAATTTCAATCTTAACCAAACTATAACTATAATTTTTTGGAAGAAGAAAACAGACTGGATTTTTTTCTAAAATGTTTGTTGTTAAAGTAATGATTCTTAAAACAACAAATATAAACTTAACTGAAAATATAAAAATATTACATATATTTCAATATTACACAATTTAATATTACATGAATTCAATATTTATTTAAATTTGTTTTAAATATTATACAGGGGATTAGGGATGTAACGATTACCGGTTTTACGATAAATCACGATAAAATGCCCTGACGGTTAGTATTATATCGTTTAAAATTTAATTATCATCAAAACCGTGTTTGATTATCGCGATTTTGAAAACTCGCGGTAAATCCTGTCCAGCCAGCATCAGTCTGACGCAGAAGCAGCATGCAGTGTTGTTGTATATGTTTTGTTTTTTGCACGAGACGAAATGGCGGAAAGCAGTGACCGCGCTCGGGAGATTTTTCAGCCATCTAAGAGGACCAAATCGGAGGTCTGGTCATATTTTGGCTTTTACAAGAGTCCTGAAGGCAATTTAATCGAGGACGGTCACCCTGCCTGCCGATCTTGCAAGAAGAAAGTCACTGCAAAAGGGGGAAACGTGTCAAATTTGCTCAGTCATCTTCGTGACCACCACCCACTGTTATATAGGCGAATGCAAGGTAACTTTTAACCTCAATACCAAAACTAACTGGGCAAATAATTGGACAAAAAATATTGATTAGAGATTAAATATTTCGTTATCTCACTTGTTTAACGCAAAGCTTCCGCGAAGAAAAGTTCTTCTTTCTTTGAGCCAAGACGAACGAACGGTCAAACTATAAGGTTGACATTTAAGAGATAATGTATTGTATATTCATAGTTAACTTATTACACAGATTTTTTTTTAACCTAAAATAAAATATAAATATGGGGATATGAAATATTGAATTGAAATTAATGTTTTGGAATCTTACCCATTTATAAATCCATTATGAACAGTGTACAAAACAATAGTCAGGACAATATGATCACTACAGCAAAATTATAGTAGTATTAATACAAAATTCCTCTGATTTCATTTTCAATACAATCAAAAACCAAGACGGCAAGCTGCATTTGAATGAAACGAGAGAGCGCGTCCGAGCCTCTGCGGTGATACAAGAGACATGGATGTGTGCTGTGTTATAATGCGTTACTATTGACAACAGTCATTATAAGGAAGGAAATGCAGCAGAACAGAATCAAGTATTCCAGTAGTGTAGTCACCTGACCCATCAACTTATTTTGTTAATTTGAAATGTGTGTGTGTGTGTATATATATATATAAATGATTTATTATTATTATTATTAGGGCTTCATGTTAATGTTAATTTAATGTTTATGCTAAAAAAAGTGCATACAGCTGCTAATTGTGTTTGTTGTTTGTTGATTTTCAAATATAAAACTTATTGAAATGTTTTCAGTGTGTGTATTAGTTCTTTTTGAACATTTTAATCTCATTTTAACAAAACCGTGATAATATTGATAACCGTGATAACTTTGGTCACTATAATCGTGATATGAAATTTTCATACCGTTACATCCCTACAGGGGATGTTTAAAGGTCTGGGTGCAGAAGAAAGAAACATATAAACCTATAATATATAACATTTGTTTACAATATTTCAAATGAATAAATAAATGTAAATAATCAATAATACATGTATACATATGTATATATTAGTGCTATCAAGCGATTAATCGCAAACAAAATAAAAGTTTGTTTACAAAATGTATGTGTCTGTACTGTGTATATTTATGAAGTACTGTAAATATATAAATACACAAACATGTATATTAAAAAATATATATATACATATATATATATACACACACACAATTTATATTATATATAAATATTAATATTTTCAAAATTTAAATATAATGTAAATGTAAATAACAAAACTAAATTGACATTTTAAAACAAGCCCCAAATCAAATAACTAAGTAACACAAATAAAAGAAACTAAGGCTTTGTCTGTGCTCTTTCCATTTAAAATGAGAGTCAACCACTGCATTTTAATCATGATCCAAACAAAGATGCTGCATACATGCAACATGAGCAGTTTTTAATCTAAATTACATTGTATAATTTGGAAATTTGAAGCAAAAACATACATAAAAAATATCTGCATGAAACAGAAACAGCAGACGAGCTGAACGAGATGCAGATTCACTCTCTGCCAGCAGGTGGCGCTTAAAGCATTTCCTTGGTTTCCGCTGTAAGCAAAGCAGCGCTGCACTTATGAACTTTAATATGCATTATGCAGAGGCAAGAGGAAAATAAAAAATACCATCTAAACTTTTCTAAAGACAGTAAGTTCCCCTCAGACATACATTCATATAAACTCCTCCCCCTAATTGAATCGCGATTTGTTTAGCATCTCAATGATTTGAATCGTCACATATTTGAATTGATTTTCAACCGGCTTGCGGTTCATCTTTACATCCCTACTTCGTGCACAAAAATAAGATCAAACTCAGACGTCACATCCATTCAGCAGAGACATGACGGAGCACAGGAAAGACTGTGTGTGTGTTTGTGTTTCACAGGACTGGCATCAGCTCTATTTGAATTTCGTAGAGAGACAAAAAAGACCGAAAGCCCAGAAGTTAAACACACTGAAATGCAGGGTAACTAATGAAAGCTGTCAAGAACACACCCGGCTCTATTTCACCACAAAATCAAAAGATAAGAATAAGAAGTTGATATTTTTTGGTTACCACTGGTATTATCCATGCTGATTTAAATTAAATAACATTTTTGCAGTAATTTTACTCCAAGATGCAACTGAGAATAAGTATTTCCAAAATATAAGAAGAAAATCAAAACAACATAAGTAAAACATCCAGAAGCATTACAATAATGAGAATATGGGGGAAATGTCTTTAATTGTCATGAAAGTAATGCCAAAGAAAATATGCATCCAGAACAAAGCACACAAAAAAGTGCACCATGCCAGCAACATCATCATCACAAAAAAAAATTATAATAAAAATAAAATTTAAACTGGCATAAATAAAGGCCAGCAGTTCTTTCTGATGAGGTCATAAACAGGTGCATCTGGATTAAACCTACACGGATTCAACCAAGTAACATTTCATTAGCGTGTAAAAGGGGTCATGAACTGAGAAATCACATTTCCCTTGATCTTTTGACATATAAGAGGTCATTGTACTATAAAAACATCCTGTAATTTTCAAAACTCAAAATTTTCTTGTTAGTCTAAAAACAGCTTATATTGAAGCCGAGCTGCCAAAACGACAGCTTGTGGAATGAGTCTTTATGATGTAATAGTGTGTCTAAACTCCGCCTCCGCAGAAGATGATCAACCCCTACTTCTAAATCACAGCCTGTTTAGCCCCGCCCACCGATTCTAGATCACTGCCTGTTTAGCCCCGCCCACCGATTCTAGATCACTGCCTGTTTAGCCCCGCCCACCGATTCTAGATCACTGGCTGTTTAGCCCCGACCACCAATTCTACATCATAGCCTGTTTAGCTCCGCCCACCAATTCTACATCATATCCTGTTTAGCTCCGCCCACCAATTCACACATGTAGTGTAAATAACGAGAGAGACCTTAAGACATTAATACTTCTAAATTATGATGTTTTTTGATGTAAAAATCTTGATAGCATTATAAATTTTTATAAAAGTGCCTTAGAAAAAAAACACACTACTTGTGTGCATCTTGAGGCAAAACAAAGGCACTGATATATTTTAAGATCAGTCAGTGTTTCTTTCAGTTGAAACAACTCAGACTTGCATTTTAGTCTGGGACTAGGCTTAAGCCTTGTCTGTGAAACAGGGGGTAAATGTATTTTTATAGACTAAATCATGCAGTGAAAGCGTGAACTCTAAATGTGCTCGCGCAATAGTCTAACCTACATCAGATGTGTGCACTCTCTTGGTGTGTTTTTGTTTGGTTTTTGCAATGTACTAGATAATGTCAAATCACATATTGTTTAAACAACAATTGTGATATTATTGTAGACCAGTGGTTCTCAATTCCAGTCCTGGAGTCTGAATCAGGTGTGTTAAATAAAGGAGACAAACAAAATGTGCAGAGCAGTGGTTCACCAGGTCTGGAACTGAGAACAGTTGTTGTAGACCAGGGGCGTCAAACTCAGTTCCTGGAGGGCCGGAGCCCTGCAGAGATTTGTTCCAATCCTGCTCCAAAACACATACCATGTAGTTTTCAAATAAGCATGAAGGACTTTCTTTACAAAGTGACATCGCCAACTACTGGAGTGGCCTGGCATGCATAATACAGCGTTTTAGTCTTTTTCGTGGATCAGTGTGAATAAGGGATTGTTTTGACAACATTGTTATCAGTATACAAAACTTTTAAAAAAAATGCAAAGAAAAACTTTTCAGTTCTATAGTAAATCATTGTCAGGTAAACATACACTAAATGAGGACAGGATATTCATTTTTGGCTGAACTGTTCCTTTAAAAGTTCAAGACGTTCTGCGGACTGTGCAATGATGTCACAATCAATATATGAACACACACCTTTTAGGGTCTGATGGTTCGTATGATTATTTTATAAAGTCCTAATTCGTGAAGAGGCCATTGGTCTGTCTGAATGCCACTGTAAATGTGGACATGCATGCATGTGTGTGTGTGTGTGTGTGTGTGTGTGTGTAGCAGTTAGGCAGAATATCCGACAAGGGGGACAAACATTCCAAGGATTCCTGATCTCAAATCTCTGTGAACCTCTCTCTGTGTGTGTGTGTGTGTGTGTGTGAGGGAGCTTTTACTCGGGTCTCTTGAATAAATGGATTTCGAACACTTTGTTTTAAGAAGCAGCAGGGGCCCATTCACACTCACTCGCACACACTCATACACACATACAAAAGTACTGGCATGAAGACACTCGTGGTTATTTTTGCCTCTGTGACGACTTCAACTCTCTCTGGTCTGGTATGAACATGCACAAATATGATCTCTCAAACTCACAGATAACAGCATCAGTTTTGACTTCTTTTCTGGTCTTCTTGTGTCTGAATCCAAAGAAAAACACTGTCTGTTCTCATTATCTTCTGTTAAAAGTGAATAACTTGCTCTGTCTTAGATTGTATCTCACTAGAGCACAAGTTACAGCCCCTTACAAAAAGTACCATGGTATTACCATGCTATTTAGGACACCACCATTATGGTAGCAGTAGCAGCATCAAATTCTTCCTAGTACCACATAAATAACTTTAGGTTAATACTTTAGGGACACTATGGTCTCACTGTTTATTAATAAAGAGGTTTAATTTCCAATCCAGAACTCAAAGTTCAATGTCAGATCAACCAAACAGAAAACAACACAACTGATTCATTTACCCCATTCTCACAAATTATACTGTGGTCATACCATGGTACAGAATGAGCATTTACATCAGTACCACAGAACGACCATGCTTTGTTTTGTTTTTTGGACATGGCACCATGATATTTTTGGAAATACCCTGGAATAGCACCAGGTAAATAAACAACATGCATTTCAGTACCATGGTATAAAGTACTATCGTGGTCTACAATAGTACTTTTTTTGTAAACAATGTAATTATTACAAAGTAATTCAAAGAAATGAGTCACGGTACATGTTCAAAAGCATGGTAATACTATGGTATTTTTGTCAAAGCCTTTTAATGTCGTGTTTGACTTTCTCTTTCTGACTTCCTGCGAAAACACAACAAAACACATATACTAGCTGCAAAATTTCCCATAAACATACAAATACCCACGAGGAGCTGAAATCTCTATGAACCTCTGATGTTCAGTAAGAAGTTACAGTTTCAGGATGTTTCGCGTTTGTTGTTGTCGCTGAACGGAAACTGTTTCGACTGCAACAGACGCGTTTGCTCAATCCGCACAGAAACAAACCCTAAATCTACCCGTGCATGTGTGTTATATAGGAATTACCCAGGACTAAGACTTCATTTCTTTAAATTAGAGGAATGAAGAGATGAAAGCGAGCAGCCATGTTGTCAAACATTAACTCCATCTTCACCTCGTTCACTCAAGAGTTTCTTTCTTTCCTGCAGATATACTTTTTTTTTTTAGTTTATAATGTTAAATTTTTAAATTTCAAATTTAAAAAATATTATTTAAAGCGCTGTACTGTCGTATAGAGTTCTAGGTTTAATGGAGGTTTAGTGAAGTGAAGAGCAGAAGATCGGTTTTGACTCACCGGAGCGAATTTCCGCAGCTCGGATCCTGTTAAAAACCCGCCAACATCAGCCTCTCATCTCAGCCTCTGATTTCTCATTAGATTCTCATTGTATCCGGTGATTCAGTGCAGCTGAGTCACGATTCATTCACGAGATCTCCGGTGTAACGACAGACGGCTTTGTGTGATCTTGCCATACTGGAGTAAGTCAGTGAGAGTCAATGAACACGCTCGCTCTCTCTCACTCACTCTCTCTCTCTCTCCCTCACTCTCTCGCTCTCTCTCTCTCTCTCTCTCTCCCTCACTCTCTCGCTCTCTCTCTCTCTCTCTCTCTCCCTCACTCTCTCGCTCTCTCTCTCTCTCTCTCTCTCCCTCACTCTCTCGCTCTCTCTCTCTCTCTCTCTCTCCCTCACTCTCTCGCTCTCTCTCTCTCTCTCTCTCTCCCTCACTCTCTCGCTCTCTCTCTCTCTCTCTCTCTCCCTCACTCTCTCGCTCTCTCTCTCTCTCTCTCTCTCCCTCACTCTCTCGCTCTCTCTCTCTCTCTCTCTCTCCCTCACTCTCTCGCTCTCTCTCTCTCTCTCTCTCTCCCTCACTCTCTCGCTCTCTCTCTCTCTCTCTCTCTCCCTCACTCTCTCGCTCTCTCTCTCTCTCTCTCTCTCCCTCACTCTCTCGCTCTCTCTCTCTCTCTCTCTCTCCCTCACTCTCTCGCTCTCTCTCTCTCTCTCTCTCTCCCTCACTCTCTCGCTCTCTCTCTCTCTCTCTCTCTCCCTCACTCTCTCGCTCTCTCTCTCTCTCTCTCTCTCCCTCACTCTCTCGCTCTCTCTCTCTCTCTCTCTCTCCCTCACTCTCTCGCTCTCTCTCTCTCTCTCTCTCTCCCTCACTCTCTCGCTCTCTCTCTCTCTCTCTCTCTCCCTCACTCTCTCGCTCTCTCTCTCTCTCTCTCTCTCCCTCACTCTCTCGCTCTCTCTCTCTCTCTCTCTCTCCCTCACTCTCTCGCTCTCTCTCTCTCTCTCTCTCTCCCTCACTCTCTCGCTCTCTCTCTCTCTCTCTCTCTCCCTCACTCTCTCGCTCTCTCTCTCTCTCTCTCTCTCCCTCACTCTCTCGCTCTCTCTCTCTCTCTCTCTCTCCCTCACTCTCTCGCTCTCTCTCTCTCTCTCTCTCTCCCTCACTCTCTCGCTCTCTCTCTCTCTCTCTCTCTCCCTCACTCTCTCGCTCTCTCTCTCTCTCTCTCTCTCCCTCACTCTCTCGCTCTCTCTCTCTCTCTCTCTCTCCCTCACTCTCTCGCTCTCTCTCTCTCTCTCTCTCTCCCTCACTCTCTCGCTCTCTCTCTCTCTCTCTCTCTCCCTCACTCTCTCGCTCTCTCTCTCTCTCTCTCTCTCCCTCACTCTCTCGCTCTCTCTCTCTCTCTCTCTCTCCCTCACTCTCTCGCTCTCTCTCTCTCTCTCTCTCTCCCTCACTCTCTCGCTCTCTCTCTCTCTCTCTCTCTCCCTCACTCTCTCGCTCTCTCTCTCTCTCTCTCTCTCCCTCACTCTCTCGCTCTCTCTCTCTCTCTCTCTCTCCCTCACTCTCTCGCTCTCTCTCTCTCTCTCTCTCTCCCTCACTCTCTCGCTCTCTCTCTCTCTCTCTCTCTCCCTCACTCTCTCGCTCTCTCTCTCTCTCTCTCTCTCCCTCACTCTCTCGCTCTCTCTCTCTCTCTCTCTCTCCCTCACTCTCTCGCTCTCTCTCTCTCTCTCTCTCTCCCTCACTCTCTCGCTCTCTCTCTCTCTCTCTCTCTCCCTCACTCTCTCGCTCTCTCTCTCTCTCTCTCTCTCCCTCACTCTCTCGCTCTCTCTCTCTCTCTCTCTCTCCCTCACTCTCTCGCTCTCTCTCTCTCTCTCTCTCTCCCTCACTCTCTCGCTCTCTCTCTCTCTCTCTCTCTCCCTCACTCTCTCGCTCTCTCTCTCTCTCTCTCTCTCCCTCACTCTCTCGCTCTCTCTCTCTCTCTCTCTCTCCCTCACTCTCTCGCTCTCTCTCTCTCTCTCTCTCTCCCTCACTCTCTCGCTCTCTCTCTCTCTCTCTCTCTCCCTCACTCTCTCGCTCTCTCTCTCTCTCTCTCTCTCCCTCACTCTCTCGCTCTCTCTCTCTCTCTCTCTCTCCCTCACTCTCTCGCTCTCTCTCTCTCTCTCTCTCTCCCTCACTCTCTCGCTCTCTCTCTCTCTCTCTCTCTCCCTCACTCTCTCGCTCTCTCTCTCTCTCTCTCTCTCCCTCACTCTCTCGCTCTCTCTCTCTCTCTCTCTCTCCCTCACTCTCTCGCTCTCTCTCTCTCTCTCTCTCTCCCTCACTCTCTCGCTCTCTCTCTCTCTCTCTCTCTCCCTCACTCTCTCGCTCTCTCTCTCTCTCTCTCTCTCCCTCACTCTCTCGCTCTCTCTCTCTCTCTCTCTCTCCCTCACTCTCTCGCTCTCTCTCTCTCTCTCTCTCTCCCTCACTCTCTCGCTCTCTCTCTCTCTCTCTCTCTCCCTCACTCTCTCGCTCTCTCTCTCTCTCTCTCTCTCCCTCACTCTCTCGCTCTCTCTCTCTCTCTCTCTCTCCCTCACTCTCTCGCTCTCTCTCTCTCTCTCTCTCTCCCTCACTCTCTCGCTCTCTCTCTCTCTCTCTCTCTCCCTCACTCTCTCGCTCTCTCTCTCTCTCTCTCTCTCCCTCACTCTCTCGCTCTCTCTCTCTCTCTCTCTCTCCCTCACTCTCTCGCTCTCTCTCTCTCTCTCTCTCTCCCTCACTCTCTCGCTCTCTCTCTCTCTCTCTCTCTCCCTCACTCTCTCGCTCTCTCTCTCTCTCTCTCTCTCCCTCACTCTCTCGCTCTCTCTCTCTCTCTCTCTCTCCCTCACTCTCTCGCTCTCTCTCTCTCTCTCTCTCTCCCTCACTCTCTCGCTCTCTCTCTCTCTCTCTCTCTCCCTCACTCTCTCGCTCTCTCTCTCTCTCTCTCTCTCCCTCACTCTCTCGCTCTCTCTCTCTCTCTCTCTCTCCCTCACTCTCTCGCTCTCTCTCTCTCTCTCTCTCTCCCTCACTCTCTCGCTCTCTCTCTCTCTCTCTCTCTCCCTCACTCTCTCGCTCTCTCTCTCTCTCTCTCTCTCCCTCACTCTCTCGCTCTCTCTCTCTCTCTCTCTCTCCCTCACTCTCTCGCTCTCTCTCTCTCTCTCTCTCTCCCTCACTCTCTCGCTCTCTCTCTCTCTCTCTCTCTCCCTCACTCTCTCGCTCTCTCTCTCTCTCTCTCTCTCCCTCACTCTCTCGCTCTCTCTCTCTCTCTCTCTCTCCCTCACTCTCTCGCTCTCTCTCTCTCTCTCTCTCTCCCTCACTCTCTCGCTCTCTCTCTCTCTCTCTCTCTCCCTCACTCTCTCGCTCTCTCTCTCTCTCTCTCTCTCCCTCACTCTCTCGCTCTCTCTCTCTCTCTCTCTCTCCCTCACTCTCTCGCTCTCTCTCTCTCTCTCTCTCTCACTCACTCACTCACTCACGTTGTGCTGCTCTAAGAAAGATGAAATCCAAGAGTTAATTATTGAGCAAAATAATTTTCCCAAATTACTGGTTACACTCACTCACACTCACACTCTCTCTCTCGTCAAAATATTAAATATAAAATTTTAAAATTTTTTGTGGTGGAGCTATTTGTCACAAATCCGGTCCATGGTCTTCCGCCTGCTCGCCACCAGAGGTCACCTTCTGATAACATTGACTCTCACACAAACTGTTGCACGTCACCCTGGACTACATTTCCCATGCTCCATTGCACTGATTGGACTCACCTGCAGACAATCACACACACACCATATTACACCCACTCAGATCCTTCTCAAACTGCGGCGTATTGTCTGCGTTTATCACTCTCCTAGTGGTAGCACTTTACAGAGCCAGTATCCTGTCTGAGTTTAGTCTAGTTCCTAGTTCTAGTCCTGTTTCGTAACGTCTAGTTTTGCCTGATTGTCTGTTCCTGATAATCTACCTGTCTTGGATTTCTCTCTCGTCTTGTTGTTTGGATTCAAATCTGTCTGTGGATTACTCGCCTGCCTCATCCTGTGGATTATGTTCGCTGTTGATCGACCTACGCCTGTTTATTGGATCACTCTTTTGTCTTGCCCTCTAAATACCTGTTTGCCATTGTCCGACCCTTGCCTGTTTTGACTATGTTTAAGAATAAAGCTTTGCAGATGGATCCGCACGTCTCTCGTCTCGTTCGCCCCGTTACACTATTCAATTTGTTTTGTCAAGCCCTTTTTTGTAGCCACTCTATCATAACTGTAAACCAATAGTATATGATCAATATCTCTCTATATATCCTTATAGTCATTTTAATTAGAGCTTGCTTGATTATTTATTTATTTGGGTAATATAAATAAGTAAATACAGTTTTAAAATATATAATTTATTTTAAAATAATATATAATCCCCTTTATCCATTTTGGAAAAGGAAATCACCAAAAATTGTAATAGTAAAGGTTTGATTTCACTTTTATAATGTTTGTAGAAGAATCTCAGGAGTCTGCAAACTCTCGTTTAGAGGCATGGAGGAAGGACCTCAATGAATGATTGTAGAGATGCTCAGATGCAAACTATTAATACAAGATTGAAACTACTACAATATAATTAAATACATTTCATGAAAATATCACAGACATACTGTATGCCCTAAATATAATTTATGTAAAGGTACAGTACTTTCTTTCATTGTGTATGGGAGTGTGATAATAAAAATAATTAATGTTACTATTCCCCTTGAGCCAATTTTTTTATATATATATAACATTTTTATCCTAATAACCTTAAATTGTAATTAAATATTTTTGTTTATATATGTACTCTACAAGTTAAACGTCTCACTGGAAAAAGGTAGAGGCACCAAGTATAGGGAGATGGTTAAAGGAGTTGGCAACAAACATGTCATTGGAGAAAATAACATATATTATTAAGGGCAGATATAAGGCTTTTGAGGATGCTTGGAAACCCTTAATGAATTTCTTGTAAGGAGAAAATAATGGAGATGTATTTGATGGGATATTTGAAGACATATAAGAAAATAAATCTTGAAGTTGTCTTGTACTAGGAGGCCTTAAACTTTATTTTATTTTGTATATGTTTGTTTGTATATGTATGTATAAACTAGAAGTGTGTAATTGGTATGTGTATATGTATACTGTGAAATGAAATGAGAAAAACTAAAGCAGCCTAGCCACACCCACCAGCATTAGCCACATGCTTAAGGAT